TTAGTTTCTTACTCAGGGGTTAAAACACTTGAATGAGACACTAAATTAACTCCCCTTTGGGACTAACCAAGGTTGGTTGCGTTTTACAAATTTGAACAATCCCCCCCTAGGAGCTCCGAAAGGAGCGCCCTGCTCTAGTGTTAAAAAAATTAAGTTAATTTTATGGAGTAGGTTAAAGTAGTTTAGTTATCTGTAAAGAACGAAATTTTGAAAGAATAGAACAGCTTTTTATTTCTTTTTAAAAAAATCCTCCATGGTGCAAGAAATTTATAGAGTTCATTATATTTTGTGTGAACGAATATCTACTTCCATAGCGTACTTACGAACAGATTTCCACATTTGTGCCAGGGATAGAACAGTAAAACTGCTGTTGCATTAGTATAATATAGAGGGCCTGTTTCTTGGAAAAGGAAGAAACTGGGTTTAATTGAAGGTAGTTAAGGACATTGAGCTATGTCCAAGAGTTGTTTATCCTACATAAGGCATTTAGATAGGCAGATATTATTTCTGGGAAATGAAATTTACAGTAAGCATCTCCCATAAAAAAGAGTAAAGCTCTCCTGCTACATGCTGTGTAGATGTTTTGGGAGAGAGGAGGTATAGCTCTTACTCATTCTTAACCTCAGCACTAGATACACATAATATTATCTGATGGACAGAAAATTGTGATGTCTAGATGTTGTTCTTCTGGGATTTAACACTGTGTGGGCTTGAGGGTAGATACCAACATTTCAGAGAAACTTACTATCTCCAAACATCACAACCCACAAGAACAACATCAATATCTTCATTGTCATAAGAACTTCAAATATCACAAATTATGGTGTATCTGTAAGGCATTCTTTCTTTTTTCACATTCTGTTTGTAGAATGCCTAAAGCAGACAACAGAACACTTGTATATGTGACTTACTGTTTCTGATTAAATGTGCTTGTCAGTATGATTCACCAAAGACAGACTGAAGAGATTGATGTATAATATTGAATCAGAATATAAGTAGATAAGTGAGGTGAAAATACTCTTGTGAGTTTTATCATCAAAACTGTCTTGCTTGTTTGTGGATGTGGTATTTTATGAATTACAAAGAAGCATGATGATGAATCTTGCAATAAATTTTAAGCAAATTTTTCTGTAGACTAGAATAATGTTATATATAAATAATATCTCCATATTTGGGAATTTCAAAACCATCAACTATGTTGCAGCACAGTGAGGAACGTGTAACAGAGGAACGGCCATTGTACAATCGACGATACAGTGCAGGAGGACAGCGCAGACTGACAAGCAACAGAGGCCCTTCACAGGTTAGAAGCAAACTGCCACCTGAGTTTTGTCAGTATTCTTTTATGAATATAAATCCCAGTGATAACCTTCTTAATGTTGGATAACAACCCATTTCTTTTTTCTTGTAAGAGAGAAGTAATTCTGTAGGATAGGAATGTTGTCTTATAAGAAAATATAAGGAGTTATGACAGGCTGTTTGTTTCACCAAATCATGACATTTGACCGTAGAAAATGGTGGCAGTGATATGAGAGATGTTAATTATGTTCAGATGTGCATTGAAGTTAAAAAGCTCACGTTTTTAAAATCCTTTTGACTGCAAAACATTTCAAATAACTCCACTGAGAGAAGTACTCTTGATCTGATTGTAGAAATTTGTTGCCTTTTATGAAAACCAATGGTTCATTACTATGTTCACAAGATACCACCATTTGACCCTGTCCTCATCCAATTTTATATTGATATTATATAATTTTAATATTTCCCCATCTAGTCTTATATCTTCCCTTCTCGAAGGTATCACCACCTTGTCGAAGGCAATCTGCCGGGTGAGGAGGCTTGCGTGCTCAAATGACCCTTAGGGCTATGCCGGCCTGAGCTTCGGCTCATGGTAGGGTCACCCAAGCCGGACAGGTCTAAGGAGATGCGCTAGACTAAGAGTGATACCCTGGTCCTCCAGGTTGGGGGTTGGGTGTAGGGCTAACAACCTTTCACCTTTAAAAAAAAAATAGGTGTTACGAAAAAATCAACCAAGCCTCGGATCAGGACGGACTCTTTGGCACGACCACAGCAATTGAAAAAGGACATGAGATTTGGTACCTGGAACATTAGGAGCCTCTATAGGGCTGGGGCACTGAAATCAGTGGGTAGGGAATTAGGGAATTATAAGTTAGACTTAGTGGCAGTGCAGGAAGTGCGATGGGAGGGGGAGGGCACGATCCCAGTGGACAATTTTACATTTTTCTATGGAAAGGGGAATGACAATCATCAGCTAGGGACGGGTTTTTTTGTTCATAGCAGAATTAGGGCAGCAGTTAAGAGAGTAGAATTTGTTAGTGACAGGTTGTCTTACGTAATTTTGGAAGGACGTTGGTGCGACATCATTGTCCTTAATGTTCATGCCCCAACTGAAGACAAAAGCGATGATATCAAGGATAGCTTTTATGAAGAATTGGAATCAGTATGTGATACATTTGGCAAGTATCACATGAAAATTCCGCTAGGAGATTTCAATGCAAAAATTGGGAGGGAGGATGTCTTCAAACCCACAATAGGCAGCGAGAGTCTCCATGCACTTAGTAATGATAACGGT